TGTTGTTGAACATGGATTGATATAGTTTTATGATCAAGTGTGGGCATGTCCACTAGAAACAATCCTATTGGGACCATTTTTTCTTAATATTTGATTCAATATTCCTTCAGTAGATTGGTTTGCACTTTAGTAGAGAATTTGTTTTGCAATTCTGATCCATTTATTGTGAATGACTTGTATGGTTTTCTCATCTTTCAATCTAAAATTTTAGATGGATAAAAGTACAACAAAAGTAACACAATCTCAAGTATCAGCAAAATGGGATGACATGCTCCACCTTAATTTTATTGAACTTTGCGAAGAAGAAATTAGAAAAGGAAATCGACCAAATTGTCATTTATCTTCTGTTGGATGGAACAATTTGATCAAGGCATTCAATGAAAGGACTGGTATTAATTATAATAGAAAGCAGATGAGAAATCATTGGGATGCCATGAAAAAAGATTAGACTCTTTTCAAGCAATTGATGAGAGGGGAGACAGGTTTAGGTTGGGATGATGTGAGAAAAACAATTATTGCTAATGACAAATGGTGGAATAATAAAATAAAGGTAGTTGCAGCTTTTTTTTTTTTTTATATATGTTTTCTTTTAATTGATATTAATTGTTTGAAATGTCACTAATTTTCTAAATTAACAACATTGCATGTGAATAAAGAATATAAGAAATTTAAAAACAAGGATTTGTCATTAATATGGTATCGCTATGATGCTTTGTTTTCTTATATTACTGCCACTGGTGATCGAGCATGGGCACCTAGCCAAATTGATGCCCTCAACATTGAAAATGAATTTGCAGGTGAATCATTAGGAATGAGTGAAAATAGAGATAAAGAAATTGATGTTGATTTTGGAAGGGATGATGACAATGATGTGGTAGGAAGAAATATAGAAGAACTTGAACATGTCCCCATCAAATTCCCATCTTCATCTCTTAATAAAAGAAAAATTGGAGGATCCAATAACAATATGAAGAAAGGGAAAAACTCGGTTGCATCATCATTGAAAGAGAATATAGATTCTCTTATTGCTATACTTAGTGATAAGAGTACTGCCGAATCTTCTAATTCGTTGCAACATGAACCAACAATAGCAGAATGTATGGATATGCTAAAGAAGATGCTTGGAATTGAAATATCGAGTCCTCTTTATTTTTATGCATCTAACCTCTTTACTAAGAAAGATATGAGAGAGCTCTTTTTTTATCATGATGGTAATGAAGTTCGTTTGAATTGGCTGAAGTATAACTACATGAAGTCAGAGGGAAAGAGTCCATAGTCATTTCTTTTATTTCTTTTATGTCTTATCCTTAGGATTCTTTGTTCATTTCATTTTTATTTTTATTAATGTTATTGTGTTTCAAACAAAGTAACTTGTTTGTTGAATGATAGATTTGTTTGGATAATTGTGATGAGTGACCATTACGATGAAGATATTTGTTATTATTTTCTATTTTTTGTTATTGAAGACATATATTTGACTATTATTTTTTTATTTTTTAGTTTAATGGAGCCGTGGGATATTTCAAATTTGGTTTCTACTGATTACAATTTTGTGGTTGATGGTCATAGCGATAACGAGGATGAATTACAAGCTTTGGTGAGTCAATGGGAAGAACAAAAATCGTAGTTGGATGACTATTTGTGAGATCACAGTTAAGTGCATTATTTTATATTATACAAATTACATTGATAAAATCCCATGTCGTACTTCTATAAGAACTGATCACATGTTGATCCAAGAAATATTGGAAGGGAATGAAAATCGTTGTTATCAAGATTTTCGCTTGACAAAATCTGTCTTCCTTGATTTATGTCATGATTTAACCAATAAATATGGTTTGAAGCCCACACGAGGGATGTCGATATATGAGGAAGTAGGCATATTCTTGATGATTTGTGCTCACAATTGCGGGAATAGATTGATTCAAGAAATATTCAATCATTCTGGTGAATCCATTCATAACCATTTCCATAGGGTGTTGATTGCTTTACTTCTTTTAGCTAAAGATATTATTAGACCACATCCACAATACAATGGAGGAAAGGAATTTCACAAACCACAAAATCCAAAATACAAACCTTTCGATGTAAGTAACGATTATTATGCAATATATATTTTTTCAAACTATTATTATTAATTTGATTCATGATTATAATTGTATGAAGTAGTAATTTTTATATTTTTTCATGTTAATAGGATTGTATTGGAGCATTAGATGGCACACATGTGAAAGCTAAATTGCCTCGGGGGGAAGAAATACCTTACATTGGACGTAAAGGGTATCCTACTCAAAATATTCTTGCAGTAGTAGATTTTAATATGTGTTTTACATTTGCATGGGCTGGATGGGAGGGAAGGTGCTGCACTGATTGTCGCATATTTTCTGAGGCACTCCGCAGAGAATTAGGATTTCCCCATCCAACGGCAAAAATATTATTGGTAGATGCTGAAATCCCCATACGTGGTATATGAGTCCATACAAAGGAGAAAATGTAAGATATCACTTGGAAGATTTTCGACGTGCTCAAACAGCAATTACGTGCACCAACTGGAAAGAAGAAAAATTCAATTATCTACATTCGTCGTGCTGAAATATTGTTGAACGAACTTTTGGTGTGTGGAAAGCACGTTGATCTATTTTGAGAGATATACCTACCTTCCATATTGACACTAAACGAATATTGTCTTGCGACTATGGCAATCCACAACTACATTAGAAAAAAGAACCCACCAACATGGCTTTTCAAGTAGCTGAGAATGAAACATATATGTCTTCATTAGATGGAGATGGAGCACTCTCGTCAGATGGAGATAATGCTTTTACCAATGGTGAAAATATTGCTTATTGGATGGGTATGCGTGATTTGATTGCAACTGAAATTTGTACCATGTAGTTATTCTCATATGCAAATTGAATGGATAATATGATTCAATTGAGACATGAATCGAATATTTTGATTGAAATTATTTTTTTTGAATATAATTATAATTCATTATATTTGTTCATTAGTTTATTTTGTATAAAGAATCTAAAAACTTGGGATATTGGTATTTTTTGATAATATTATAGTAAAAAATTAATTTAATTAATTTATTTTTGATAAATATGTAATACCCTTTTAGTTATTTATAATAAAGAATTATAAGTCACTTTTTACCAAACACGTCAACTACTTATCAGTCACTTATAAGTGCTTTAATCAAACACGTAATTGCTTAAATTTTAATGCTTATAAGCTAATTTTCATAAGCTCAGACAAACACCTCCTAAATCCACTACATATTGTATTAAGTACACTGCTTTCTTAATATATTCCTAATTTCCTATATGTCTAGAGCCCAACAAAAGCCCAAATAAAAGTAACTTATCCTCTTACCTACATTACTCAATACCCTCAGTCTGTTCGTATAACAACGCTGAAGACTCATCACCCGGCCCAACATCTGGCTGCCCAAATTTGAACTTTATTTCTCAAAATTTTAATGAATAACCCACTAATATTATCTTCTTCCTTTTTCATTCTCTCTTATATCTCCACCATCCTAATTTAAAAATTAAGAATATAAAATAGGTAATCTCTGCAATCTATACCCTTTCTCAAGGCAATACTTAACTGTGTTTTCATCAGCTATCCCAAAAGATTGAATATTAAAAAAGTAAATCGATGTTATATGTGCATTGGAAATCGAAGTTATGTCTGTATTATTCTAAAATCTTCATCAACTCCATAATTTTGATTCCTCTATGTATACAAATTTCTCAGGGCTGCATTCAACATTCAACTGCAAATCAAAGTCCTGTGCGAAAATCAAAACATTACTCATCTAATCTGTGCGTTAAATTGCCAATATTAATTCAAACATATTTTTCCAACTCTTGAATTGTCAGAAACGATGAATTGACGCGCATTTAAGCATCCTGTATGTTCATTGTCATACCCAAAACTGTGCCTTCCTGAAAGTACTTTTCCATACAGACCCATTAAATTTTCTGGCCACACAATGCTGTCAGATTGTTAAAAATTTAGAATAATATTTGTTTAACATTAAGGACATTAACTAAATAGCTACCAGGTGATTAGTATCCTGAATATCTACTGATTTTGTTCAGTAAAAACATGAAATTTTAAGCAAGTTTCCAGGTCGTCGACAGTCTCGAAATGGTGCAGTGCAGGCAGAGTGGTCAGGACTTGCTTTCTGAAAGTTCACCATGAAAGGTCAGTGGATGAGCCAAATGACTCATTTAGGTCATTTATACTTATCAATTTCGCTTACTAATTGACAAAAAAGCCAACTTGTGAGTGGTCACATAGGGATAGATGGAGAGAGAGAGAGAGAGAGAGAGAGAGAGAGAGAGGGATTGAAGTTCTCACATTTCTAAGAGACAGGATAATGGCAAACGACTAGTGACAAAGTGGGGTAGTTTCAAAAAGGAATACGTAAATATTAAGTTTGGTTCTTGGGACATTAACATGTGATATCACTAAGGACAAATAGGGAAAAGAAATCAAAGATTTTTCACCTGGGTTCAGTCTGACTCGTCCAATAAAAGCACCCTTTCACCATTTATATAATAAAATAATCTTTGCCTACTCCTTAATTTCTTTTTCACCTCAAAATTCACACCAACTTAAATCAATAAAAATAATCCAAAGTAGATATCAAAAGACAGATTACAGAAGTGAAAAATACTCATACATTACAAAGATGCAAAGGTGCCAAAGGCCCAAAAGTAGAAATGAAATACATTTTCAATAGTGGAATCCTATTTAAGTTTCTCCCACCTTTTTAACAAAGCTAAAATCTCTCTCTCCCTCTCCATATTATTTTGCAAACTGGCTTCATTTTATTGCTTCAAGCTCATATAAACATTCTTCCATTCTCTCTTACTCTCATGATCTTCTCATTCTCTTGATACACTCAATCTTTTAGTGTTCAACTCATTTCTGTCATTTACCCTTAGTTTTTTTTTTTTTTTGCTTCTTGCAGCCTCAATCTGTCTCCTCACCTCTTAACACAAACACATTCTCTTTTCTACCCATTATTTCTCTGTTCTTTTCACTCTCAAGTTGTATTTTTCCTCTTCTAGAAACATCCTTTTATTGTAGTTTCAACTCTCTTTCAGCATTTATTTTTCAGCAACCTTCATATGGGTACTTTAAAGGCAAGCTTAAAAGATGAGATGACGCCGCCGGTAGTAGAGACAGCGCATGCAGGAGCAGAGGCGAGCCGTTACACTCACAGATCGATTGAAACACTTGTGGTCGTGCTAGCAGTGATTACCATCATAGGCGTTATTGCAGGGATCATTGCTAGGCTTTGCGGTGGAAGACATTTTGGTGGCAATGGAGAGAATGACATTGAAGGTTGGGTTGAAAAAAAGTGCCGGAGTTGCATTGACGGTGGAGTCCCAGCTGCAGCACCACCACCTCCACCTCCACCACCTGAGGAGTCCAAGCCAGCAGCAGAAGAAACAAAGAAGTGATCAAAATGGAGATAAAAGAATATTTCTACTACTAAATCACGTGTATTTTTATTTGTGAATTGGAATATTATAGACTTTAGTGTAAAATAGTAGTGGTTTCACTAAGCTGAATCATATTTTATTGTTCTTTATGATACTCATGAAACCATCTTTCTTGTTCAAATGGAATGGGGTTTTAATTAGTTCTTTTGTAATAGCCAGTTAAACATTTAGTTCCACCGGATAATGTCACAGACGTACAGTTTGCATTCACTTTTCCGGCGAGTTACAGTGGCAATTGCCGTACCTGAGGGCTGAGACAAACATAATTCTTGGCACACGCGGAGTAAGTACAGCAACTTATTGGTATAGGAGAAATTCAATGATAACTCTGGAAAAGACAAGTACGGAGAGACAACAATAGTTTTGATTTTGCAGAATCCAACCGTTGCTTTACCAAAGCCAACCTTTTGCTCCATATCTTTACTGATTGCTAAACGGCTAAACCCATTAAAAACTTACCGTTGCCATTTCTTTTCTATAAGAAAAGTAAAATTTAATAAAAGCATTGCACAACACTCAAAGCATTGGGTGAAAAAGCTCTCTCCTATTCAGAGCTTTGCTGACTTGTAATAAGTAATGTCAAAACATGCATGATACCACATGCTTAAATTAAATTATTTGCATTCAAGTTTCACTTATATATCTACTTTAATCGTCACTGCCCGATGTTCTAATCAAGCTTCAAATTTTTGTTTGTTTTTTAATGACTTGGGTGTTTGGGTCAATTTTACGTGTACTTTAAAAGTAATCTCCCAAGAACCTAGAATTACCAGTCAGATAAGAATTCTAATGACTATCCCTATTAGCAATAAAAAAGAGACTCAAAATCAAGATCTCTCGAGTAATACATCTAAGAGTCTCTATCAAACCACTCCACTAATCAAAAGTAATTTCAAGCTTCAAACTTGAGCCTGATCTTGGGTTTTTTGATTCACAAACAAGCTTCTAATTGTTCCAAAATCAATTTCTACTTCCAGACTCCAGTATTTTAGAATTTTCCCACCAAAGATTAACGAAATTAGTTAAGTGAGTTTAAAACATAAAATGGAGGTTGAAGATTGAAATTGAACCCGGAGGTTTTGTCTAAATCAGTAATCGTTTGTAGATTTTATTTACCGAAATGAGGCATCGTCAATAGAGTAATACTACACTTACAAATAAATTTTACAAAGATCTCTATACAAAGTGATGTGGCAAAAAATGAATGGAAGAATGAATTTAATGAGTTTGACTTTTTGTTTCACTCTTCCATTCATTTTTTACCACCTCACTTTGTATAGAAATCTTTGTAAGTATAGTATTATTGTCGTCAATAAATCATTTCCTATACCTCCAGTTGAAAAGCTCGGTATTATTCCCACGACACTCCAAATAAAATAAGAGATCGATGACCAAAGTAAACAAGCAATTCCATAAATAAAGAAATAAAGACAACCCAAAGAAAATAAGGTGAAAAATAATGCCTTTTTTCTAATTTAAAACTGAATTATTGAGCCGCTGCTTGTTTCCTGGCCCAGTCAAATGGACTTCGCATCGATTCACCTCAAACATGGTTTATCAGCTAGAAACTGTTGTATTACTCGTTTGCTACTTAATTTTGTTTTTGTTCTATTAAACTTGGGAAAAGTTTTATTATAAGTAGACCGAATTTCACCTTGCAAAAGGGTTCAAAAAATTTACTTTTCGACCATCTCATGTTATGTGTAATTTAAAGATTAAATAGTCAAGTTTTATTAATTAGGTTTAAAATCTTTCAATCAAAACATCCTGTGATATGAAAAAATTTTCCAAGAAACTCCAATTTTTTTTTTCTTTCATCTATTATTGCAAGTTTGATCCAAATACAAATAAATATCAAATATGAAGCCCTACTACTTAAAATAGCCGGATCTTTTTATTTATTTATTTTGTTATTATTGTCAAGATTCTCAAAATTAGAGTGAATTGGGTAAAACAGGATTTGATTAAATTTAATATTATCTTGTATTTGGTGCAACATTGTATTAAATATTCAATTAATTATTTAATAAAATATGATTATTTAAAACATTAAATTATTTAAATGTTTAAAAGAATTCAAATACATAATAATACATTTTTCAAATAAAATTTTGAAAATTAAAAAAAAAAAAAATTGGAAGTGGTGGGCAGCGTCGGGCCATAGGAAAAATAAATATTAAATTATATCGCAATCGTGTGTTGTTATCTTCTAAAAATTATTAAACGTAAAGAATAAAGCCAAAATGACACTATATATAAAAGGTAAAATTTCATAAAGCCATGTGTTGATACAGAAATCTGCACCAACCAGTGAGATCTGATCGACTTGTTGGGATCGAAACAGATGTGTGTGTGATTATGGGTAATCAGCTATGAGTAAGCAAAAATGCTAGAAAATAAATGGCAATAAGGACTTTTAAAGTGGTTCGGTGAAGATTAACAGCCTACGTCCACTGTGTTGTGCTTATTTGCCGTGAAAGCTTACAATATAACTTCTAAACTAGAATTTGTATCCCTTTCCTCATCGTTTTAGTTGATATATATACAAGATTTACATAAGATTACGCAAAGATTGCTGTTAATCTGATCATTCCCGTAATATATGGGATTTGAAGTTATCTGGAATTGATTGAATGATCATTCGGGTTCTCCGCAACTAGCTTGTGATGGGTCGAGCTATGGCTCGATGAGCTTATGTTGGGTCGATCAATCATAGTCACCAAGGTCATTCTGGGTTGAGCTATATTCTCGCGTCGACCCGAGCTTGACGGAAAACCACACATAACATTTGTCCCATAGTGTTTGATGCTTGTTTCGGGCTTCGGAGACTATCGCTCAATCTAACACCAAGCTCGGCTTTAGTAGTGAGTCTCTGAGAGTATGCTCGATCGGGCTTCCACAGTCGATCTTACATCTAGTCAACGTTCTTCACACTTGGACATTATTACCTGTGCCACTTGTCAAAACTCAAAATACAAAAAGTCAGGGTATACATGTAATTTTCATGTGGTCGTGTCGCATTAAATGCAGCAGCCTTTATCAGTTAAGTTTCGTCGCGCATGGTTGATGACAGCTGTTCATGCGCGAAGTTGAGATGTCGTGTGGCGACGATTATCATTTCTGAAGGTTTGTCGCACCTCGTGGATGGTCTACACGTGGCCATGTCCAAGGGCTGAGATCGCTCGACGAATGAAGGGCTAGGATTGATTGTGATTCAATGGTCGAGATTGAACTTCGCTCTTTCGTCTTCCATGCAAAAACCACTATAAAAGGTGGCTAATATTCAGAACAACTATTCTGAGAATTCTTCCACCTTCTTGCTTTTCTCTTGCCATTACTCTCTTGTCGTCGTGGTAGACTTTCTTGCAAGTTTTTAGGCTGCCATGGCGAGCCGACTCTTATATAAAGAATGCGGTCAAACCTTGGAGGGAACTCATAAGGGATGGTTGCTCGCGGAGACGGTAAAGGAGGACACTTTGGCCAGAGCCGAGGTAGCGGAGAAAGAGAACGAGGCAAGGCAAGCCGGGCTTGAATGCCTCAGAAAGGAAATTACGGCCTTTGGGGTCAAGGAAAGGGAGTTCCTCGACAAACTCTAGGCGAGCAAGGCTGCTCGTAACAAGGCTGAAGCCAAGGCAGCGGAGGCTGATCAGAGTTTGGCTCAACAGCGAGGAGCCAACAACAAGCTAAACTATGAGCTCTCTTCGACCCAAAAAGCAGCAACGAGCTGGGAGGCCAAGTTCGAGCAGGCTTTTCTCGACCTCACCCAGGAAACGGTAGGTCGACAAAATGTCGAAGCTGAGGTCAAGCAACTCAGGCTTAGGATTGAGGAGCTGGACGAAGCCGTCACCACCCAATCTTGGGAAACATTGGTCTTCCTTGTGCAGAGGTTATGGGAGGCTCATCCAACAATCGACTTTTCCTTCCTCCCGCGTGCCTATCAGAAGGAGGTCGAAAGGATAAAGGTCGAGGCCCAAGGGATGACCTATGTGTACTTGGATGACTCCGGGGATGCCAACGAGGGACAGGAAGAGACCGTAGAGGGTGGCGAGGAGGTTGGTCCCAAGTTGGAGGTCGAAGACTCGGATCCTCATACCATAGTCCTTCCAAGCGAGGTTTCCGAACATGAAGTTAAGGATGAACACCCTGCTCGCCCATCGACCTAAAGACCCTTAGTCTTTTTCTTGTTTTGTTGTTGTTTTTTTTTTATATATATATTGCCCGAATGTAATCAAACCTTTTGGTCAATGAAATAACATTTTTAAACATCTCTTGTTCGAGCAATGGTTTCTGCGGAGTCATTTAATTTGTCTTAATCGGACTTTTTGAATTTTTCCCCAAGTCATGCGTAGTTCGCTTCTCTGGGAGCTTTTCAGATTTTTTGTGAATAAACCTTTATGCGATGTTTGGCATTGATTTTGGACTCGTAGTCCTCTTCGGGCCTTCATCACCAGCTTAGGGCCGATTTTTTCCGACGTGCTTTTTCTTGGAAATTTCCAAGTTTAACTTTGTCGACATGGGATTTTCAACCCTGAATTATACGAGGAAATCTGATTAAACTTCAATTGTAGATTTTACTGTCCCTTTCGAGTTCTTTGGTCGCCAGCTTAGAGCCGATTTCCTTCGACATGTTTTTTCCTTGATTTAAAACTCAAGTTTAACTTCATCGACTTAGGATATTTTATCCTCAAATAGTTGGATTTTGGCATGGCTTTTTCGAAGTAAGCTGCCTTTCCAAAACTCTTGACTCCGAGTCTTTTTTTTTTTTTTTTTTTAATTTTATCATGTAGGTCATGATTTATCGATCGGTACTTAATTGTGGACGAATTCTAAAATGTAAATTATGAACAAAGCAAGTACTGAATAATATTTCTCTTATTGATAAAGTGTTTTGGTCGTAAACAGCCTTACAACGAACATAGGCGACAGAAATAAATAGAACCCGAGCTACTTATTGGTAA